ATCAGCTGGTTAAAGTTGATGGCCGACATGCCACGTCACAATCTGGCCGGATTTCCGGCCGAATTGCTGGCCGGATTTAAGGCAGTGAAGAAATTAATTTTTTTCAAATGAGCCAACCAATCCGGCCAGAAACTGGCAGGATATGCGGCCGGATTCTGCAAAAATTCTGGTCACTAGAAAATTTTACCTTTTTCTCTTCTTTCGGGCGTCACAAACTCCTCTTCTTAAAAGAATGTCATCCTCGACATTCCAACTTGTACTAATCAAGTCAAGATATCCCGTAAAAGTCAAACAAGCATTTCCAAACAAGCCTAATCCCACTTGTCTGCTTTTCATTCCTATAAGAAATCACTGCTATTCACCAGACCCACAGTCCGACATCCTAAACTTGAAACTTAGGATACACTACAGAGATCTGAAACCTAAGCTCTGATACCAACTGTAACAGCCCCACCTTACCTTAAGGCGAACCAAAGGGTTCGGCAGACCGCCTGTCCAACTCTCGCCGGGACTCACTCACTCACTACAGTCCTCAAATAAGTTATAATATAAATCTCCAATATACAGCAATTGTTCCACAAATTCACATATCATAAATGAAGCGAATACGTCTCAATTGCATTACAAACTAAAACCTCAAGAGACAAAAACAGTACTAATTTCTCGCATAAGACAAAGGTTCTCAGTTCTCATATAATTACAAGTACAATCGCAGTCTCAAATATTACACAAGATAAAACTAAAACGCCAACTATACTGGAGATAATCCAACCAGTCACACGAAAAACTTAGTACAAGCACCTCCTTTGCCTCGAGCCCTGTGGAGGGGAAATAACATACTTTTGGGGTGAACTAAAAACTCAGCGAATAACCAGTAAAAACCATAGTCAAATAAGTTTCAGAATAGTTCATTTCAATGATGTCATGAATCAGTAATCAAATGTACATTTATTGCTCTTGTGAGCCAGTGAAATCATTGTACTTAAACATCCAATGCTCAAATAGGTCCAGTAACAGAGAAACAGTGATAGGGAGCCATTTGCTCCAAGTAAACAGTGATGGAGACGTTGGTGTTCAGCAAAAGACTTCTCAAGAACTCATTGGACCCAAATCATGTCATGAACTCACATGCAAGCACACATGATATGCAATCGAGTAAATAATACAAGAAACAGTTCATAAGTAGCTTTGGAAATATTTTGGGGTCACTCACCAACCACAGCTCAGGAACCATCGATCATATATCATTGCCTTGCTCAAGTCCAAGCCCTAGATCACAAACTCAAAGCAATCAAACACTCTCAAAGTTCGGACAGCACTTCCCCTTAATTTCTTCATTTTTCCAACCTACAAACATTCACCAAATCCATAACTATCAACCACAATAGCACATATATATCATAGGCTATTAAACACTCTTAATAAGGGTGATAATACCCCTTTCAATCGTAACCAATTAAGAGCTCAATAATCAACCAACTTCAAGACCAAATTCGAAACCCTAATCTGGAATTTAATCCCACAAGCGGACATTTTCCGTAAGCAGTTGCAGCTAGTACATATAAGTTTCATCTTACACCTAACCAAGTTATCATTCCAAAGCCAAACAACAATTATCATATAAAATCAGAAAATTCACCAATAAATCAGAAAGTTGCCATAAACTCCTTCAAACCATGAAATCTTCCACAATACAACATATTTAACAACTACAAACCACTAATATATCACTATTAAAACAAAAGGAAACTTTCTTAGCAACTCACCTAAACTCAAGAAAGATAGCACCTTAAAACTTTCCCTTCCAAAACAACTCCATCAACTTCTTCAAACTTCCATAGGGAGCTCTTGTATGGAGTAGATTGAAAATCTAACGGTGAAATCTCAAGCTTTGAGCAAAGATTGAAACTAGTAAAAAATGAAGAAATCTCTCTTGTTTTTCCTCTCTCAACAGCCGGCCAAGCCAAGGAAAGAAATGAGAAAAAATTCCAGCCAAAACAAGATAAGAAGGAAGAAAATCAGCTGGTCAAAGTTGATGGTCGGTCGGATTGCTGGCCAGATTTAAGGCAGTGAAGAAATTATTTTTTTTTCAAATGAGCCAACCAATCCGGCCAAGTATCCGGCTAGAAACTGGCCGGATATGCGGCTGGATTCTGCAAAAAATTCTGGTCACCAGAAAATTTTTCCTTTTTCTCTTCTTTCGGGCGTCACAATAGGTGGAGGCATGCTCTCAATAACCTCTATCTTGACTTGATCTACCTCAATACCTTCTGAAGAAATTTTGTGGCCTAGCACAATACCCTCACAAACCATGAAGTGACATTTTTCCGAATTGAGTACAAGGTTTGTTTCTTCACATCTCTGCAAAATTAGATCTAAATTGTTAATATAATCATCATAAGTAGATCCAAATACAGAAAAATCATCCATGAAGATTTCCATAATTTTTCTATTAAAATCAGAGAAAATTGCCATCATGCATCATTGGAAGGTGGCCGGTGCATTGTACAGTCCAAAAGGCATCATTCGAAATGCAAAAGTGTCATAAGGACAAGTGAATGTAGTTTTCTCTTAATTTTTCGGTGCAATGGCTATTTGATTGTATCCTGAAAAACTATCCAAGAAACAATAAAATTCATATCCAGCCAATTTTTCTACCATTTGATCAAGAAAAGGAAGAGGGAAATGATCCTTTCTAGTAGCTGCATTAAGTTTTCTATAATCAATACAGACTCGCCACCCAACCACAACTCTAGAGGGAATCATTTCATCATTTTTACCATGTACTATGGTTATCCCCTATTTTTTTGGTACTACATGAATAAGAGAAATCCAAACACTATCAGAAATTGAAAAAATTATACCTGCATCCAACCATTTAAGGATTTATACTCTTACCACTTCTTTCATGTTTGGATTTAACCTTCTTTGAGTTTCAACCACTGGTTTAGAGTTCTCTTCCAATAAAATCCTGTGCATACAAATAGTTGGACTAATTCCTTTGATATCAGAAATTGTCCATCTTATAGCCTTCAAATGCTTCCTCAAAACAGTAATAGCTTGTCTAATTGTTCCTCATCTAATGCTGCATTGACGATTACCGGCAATGTCTCTTTTTCTCCAAGAAACGCATATTTGAGGTGCTTAGGCAGCGGCTTAAACTCAAGCTGTGGTGCTTGCTCACATGATGGTGGAGGTAGCCCTTTGGTCAATTCGAACTCCTCATATGCATTTCTCCTTTTGTAAGGAACCTGCGCTTGCAAAAATTCAGTCATTTCTTCAACTTGTTCCTCTTGTAAGCCTACACCATTAAGACAAAATTCAAGAGAATCATCATCAAGATTAACTTGACTCATCTCTAATGCCAATTCATCACATATGTCAACAGAATAAATATGATCGGTAAAAGAGGGATATTTCTCCACTTTACTCAAATTAAATTCCAATTCCTCTTCACCAATTTGGAACTTGAACTTACCACGTTTAACATCTATTATTGTACTTGCGGTGGCCAGAAATGGTCTACCAAGTATAATAGGTACATTTACATCTTCTTCCATGTCTAAAACAACAAAATCGACAGAATAATGAATTTCTGTACTTTAATGAGTACATTCTCCAATACGTCCATTGGATGTCTAATAGACCTGTTAGCCAATTGCAAGGAAATGTTAGTACATTTTAACTCTTTCAACCCCAATTGCCTAGCCACAGTTAAAGGGATCAATGACACACTTGCACCAAGGTCATATAGTACTTTAGAAAATTCTACATTACCGATAGTGCAAGGAATTGTGAAACTCCCCGGATCTTTCAACTTGGGTGGCAATTTATTTTGTATGATTGCACTACATTCTTCCGTTAATGCAATTATCTCACTATCTACCAACTTCCTTTTCTTAGTCATTATCTCCTTGAGAAACTTTGCGTATGAAAGAATCTGCAAAATCGCATCAACAAAAGGTATATTAATATGTAATTGTTTAAAAATGTTGACAAATTTCTCAAATTCTTTGTCATTTCTCGAAGGTCTCAATCTTTGAGGAAGTGACACTGGTGGAGGAATTGGTGTTGTATCTCCCATTTGTGGTTCATTTTCTTCCACCTTTTCTTTCCCTTTAATTTTCTTGCTTTTCTCTCCTAACTCACTCAATTGCTTGTTTTCTCTTCTTTCAAACTCTCTTCCACTTTCAACTACCGGCGGCTCACTTAATTCCTTACCACTACGGAGGGTTATAGCCTTCTCATGCTTCCTTGGGTTCATCTCAGTCTTACTAGGTAAGTCCCCTTGGTTGCGATTGTTTACCACATTTGCTATTTGTCCCAATTGGACCTCAACATTCCTGTATATATTGGTGAGTTGGTCCATCCTTCCTTCAATTCTTTCAAACCGTTGAGTAATGGCATTAGCTAGCTTTTCAATTTTATCATTTGTTACATTTGCCAGCTTTTCAATTGCCAATTCCCAAGTTGATTTGGACTCTTGAAGTGGTTGCTTCGGTTGAAAATCCGGTGGATTAACTGGTCTTTGTTGGTTCCCTTGATCATTCCATCCAAAATTCGGGTGATTACGCCATCCGGGATTATAGGTGCTGGAGTATGGATTGTTTTGGGGTGGATGGTTGTAATTGTTGAGATATTGAACCTGTTCGCTGCTAGCATACATAAAATCATTATGATCTCCGTCACAAGTGGTACAACATGCAACAACTACTTCTTGATTAGAACTAGAACCAACTTGCCTATTAAGCATCTTAACCACATTATCCATTTTTGCATTTAACATATTCAAGGTATCTACTTTGAGCATACCTGCGATTTTCCTTCTATTACCTTGTTCGTTTGCCCATTGGTAGTTGTTAGCAGCCATTTCTTCAATCAATTGTTGAGCTTCCTCAGCTGTCTTCCCCATCAAAGCTCCTCCCGCTGCTGTATCTACATGCGTCTTTGTTGGATAGGTGAGACCATTGTAAAGTGTTTGGACTACTAGCCAATCTGATAGACCATGATGAGGACATTTTCGTTGCAATTCCCGATAGCGCTCCCAAGTTTCATACAATGTCTCTCCTTTCTGTTGAGAGAAACTAGTTATATCCATTCTAAACTTAGCAGTTTTTCCAGGTGGAAAGAATTTATTTAGAAAAGCCTTGGCCTTGTCCCTTAGTGAAAATGGAAACAATCGAAATTTAATTACATCATCACTAACTCCATTAAACTTAATTGTATCACAGATTTCAAGAAATGTTGACAAGTGAGAATTTGGATTTTCGGTAGCATTACCTCCATATTGAGATTGTTGTACCATTTGAATTAGTGATGGTTTTATCTCAAAGTTATTAGCGTTTACCGTTGGCCTTACAATGCTAGTTTGAGAACCTTGTGTTCTCGGTAAAGTAAAATCTCGTAGAATTCGCCTATTTGAGTCGTTTTCTGCCATTTTTTTCTCAAATGGTAATTCTATCGAGATTTATTCTATCGGCTGCCAAACCTCTTGTTCCTCTTGATGTAGTGTATTCCTCCTTTGTCTCCGTAATGTTCTTTCAATTTCAGGATCGAAATGTGCAACTTCTCGATTTGATCGGTGCATACACTACAAATAAAAACAAGAGAAATTTTACAGTTTTTATTATTAAAATCAACTATAAACAAGTTGAATAAAAACAATGAAAATATCTAAATTAATAGAGATGATTAGGCCCTAATATTGCCGCTCCCCGACAACGGCGCCAAAAATTTGACGAGACTTTTATATCAATGCAAGTTTAAATCTGATTTTACACCCGTTGGAGTGCAAGTATACAGGTCGAAATTGTAATACAAGGTGTGTATCAATTCGATCCCATGAGGAGCAATTTAACCAATTATTTGGTCCTTATTTTCTCTATTATTTAGACTATTGAATGAATTTGAGCAGAGAAAGGATATTGCTATAATCTACAAATCTGATATACAAATCTAGTTTAACAAATGTTAATTGCAAATGGAGAACTTTCACTCAAGGAAGAATCTAGGGATGTAAATTCCACTTATGACATAAACAACACAAATGAATGGATTTATCTCTTGTTATTATTTGTTTAACCGGAGATTCATTTTCAAAATTACCAAGTCTCATTTTCATGATGAAATGGCCTAGAGCAATATAGTTTTCCCTATTTTTATGGTGAAATACTAATTCTACTCTGTTTTCTTTCATGAAATGCTAAAGAATCCACTTAAGTGTATCTCTATTTTCATGAACATACAACTCAAGCTCTACTCATGTGTTTCCATTGTTACTACCAATTCTCATTGAACAATAACAACTATAAACATGCTATTGGTGATCAATCAATAACAAGTAATCACAGCTACACAAGTAAACAAGTTAATACAAGATATAACAAGTGTAAATCACATTCAATTCATATTATTTAGCCATAAGTTTCATCTACTCCCTAGATAAAGAAAATTAGCCACTCATGAATGATTTAACAATCAAACTCACAAGTTTATTAATGCAAAATATCATAAAATACAAGTACAAAAAAGATAAAAGAAAACTTAGCCAATTGAAGGTGAAACTCTCCAATTTCTGCTATACTCTTGTACAATATGATTACAAGTGAAAACTCCAAATGCTTCTTCAAGAACCCTTAGCTAGAGAGAAAGTTGTTACAAGAAGGAAAACTAGCTATGTATGGTTGTTCTGGCTTCCCCCCTCTGTTTCTGCATAAAAGGTGGTAGAAAGTCTATTCTTCTCACTTCATAATTTCCTCCACTCAGATTTTGTAAAAAGAAGTCAAAGATATGATGTTTCCTTTTGTCTACAACTCATTTGGTCTTCTCTTTTGTTGCAGAAGCATGTGCCACCGATTTCTGTCCCTCAAAATAGTTGAAAAAGTTGTGAGAAAGGTAAAGAAAAATGGCTGTGCCACTTGCTGAAAAGAGAGACAGATCCGAGACTCGGATCCGAGGGGTAAAACTGGATCCGAGCTCAGATCTTCAGGATCCGAGGACTTCCCATGCTGGATCCGAGGTCGGATTGTCTGACCTCGGATATACTCCTCCAGAAGTACAGACGAGGGCTCGGATCCCTCTTTGCTCTCACGGATCCGAGCTCGGATCCGTGCCATTAAATTTTCAATTTTTCACTTCTTTCCTTTTTCCTTCATTTTTGTTCCTAGTTTCTCTTGTACTTTATCCTTAGGACGATTCTTACAATTCCTTCATCACGCGCATGAATTCCATATATCCATATCCTTCATATTTTCACAAAATTAACACATTAATCCACTCATTTATCAAATTTTAAACACTTAAACAATATTTAATCAATTATCACCAAAAGAGTTCAAATATGGCTTTAATCTTCTCAAAACATACCAAAAGTTCATACCAATTTTGTACAAAATATACATTAAATATTCACTTATCAATATTCCCCAAGGTGTCATGGCTAATCCGGGACCATCATTTTCAGTTTGATTTAAAAATCATGGAACTTGGAGGTTGGGGTATTATACTTGGTGTGGATTGGAAGTGTCATTTTAGTCTTATAACTTTTGATTTTCATGAACTTAGTATTGCTCTCAGTCATGAAGGAGAACTGTTGCATCTCCAAGGATTCATTAATCAGCTTATGATGGAACTTGTCAGAGGCAAAGATCTCACAACCTTTATACAGGAGAAACAGTAGAGATGTGCATCTATACAATTGAAGAAAACTACAGTAGAGATGAAAGATATTCCGGAAGCAGTTGATCTGATATTACAATAATTTCCTCAGGTGTTTGATACTCCAAAAGAATTACCTCTAGAAAGGTCTTTAGCCCATTAGACCATCCTCAAACCTATTCAAAACCCTTCATACTCAAACCTTATAGGTATTCTCACTCTCATAAATCTAAAATAGAGAAGCTGGTGATTGAAATGCTTACAAATAGAATTATTAGGCATAGTAGTAGCCCATTTGCTTCCCCAATGTTGCTAGTCAAAAAGAAGGATACTTCATAGAGGTTATGTGTGGATCATAGAAAACTCAATGAACTAACTGTGAAGGATAGATTTCCAATTGCTAACATTGATGAATTACTGATTGAATTGCATGGAACTAGATATCTATCAAAGTTAGATCTAAGAGCTGGTAATAATCAACCAAGAGTTATGGCAGTTGATGTGCATAAAACTGCTTTTCAAATAGAACATGACACTTTGAATTCTCGGTGATGCCATTTGGATTGACAAATGCTCCAACCACTTTCCAAGCTCTAATGAATCAAATATTCCAGCTATATTTGAGAAAATTTGTATTGGTTTTCTTTGATGATATTCTGGTATACAGTCCTACATTAGAATTGCATATGCAGCACCTCCAAACTATGTTAAAAATATTAGCAGAAAACCATCTCTACTGCAAGAGGTCTAAATGCTCTTTTGCTCAAACATTAGTTGAGTACTTAGGTCATGTGATCTCAGAATCAGGTATAAGTATGGACCGGTCCAAAATTGAGTGTGCCTTATCTTGGCCAACTCCTAAAACAATTAAGGAACTGAGAGGATTTCTAGGGCTAACTGGCTACTATAGCAGGTTTATAAAAGGTTATTGCATCATATATAAACCTCTAACTCAGTTACTCAAAAAGAATGGCTTCGATTGGAATCACCATGCTCACATAGCTTTTGAGGAACTGAAAACTGTTATGAACATTGCACCTGTTTTGAGAATGCCCAACTTTGAAATTTCTTTTATAATTGAAATTGATGCTTGTTGACTTGGTATAGAAGTAGTTCTAATGCAAAAGGCCATCTAATAGCATATCTTAGCAAGGCCTTGTCCCAGCAGAATCTGGGAATGTCAGTTTATGAGAAAGAGTTGCCTTAGTAATGGCAGTAACTAAATGGAAGCATTACCTAATAGGGCATCACTTTATCATTAAAACAGACCATCAGGCCCTTAAATATCTATTGGAGCAAAGACTTGTACATTTCTTGCAGCATCAATGGCTTACTAAGCCGTAGGATTGGATTATGAGATCCAGTATAAGAAAGGATCTGATAATGGTATTGATAATGCATTGTATAAAAAAAGAATGACTGACATATTGGAAGACTCTAAGGTGGAATTGAGTAATATTTGTGCCATCTCTGCTGTTGAACCAGCTTGGATGCAAGAAATCTTGGAGAGTTATGATAGAGATATTTTTGCACAAGACACTATGACTCAGATACTGCTAGATCCTACATCTAATCCTGATTAATCAAATGCTAAAATTCAAGGATAAACGATACATGGGATCTGCCAATAACATAAGAAGTAAACTGATCATAGCATTGCATGACTCAGCTGTAGGAGGCCATTCAAGACAATGAGAGTGCTTGCAGAAAGTAAAATCACTATTCTTCTAGCCTGATATGAAGAAACAAGTTCTACAGTTTTTCAAATCTTGTGATGTTTAGCAGCAAAACAAGAGTGAAAATGTTCCCTATCTTGGCTTATTACAACCAATTCCTGTTACTCAGCAAGCATGGACACACTTGACTATGGATTTCATTGAATAGTTGCCATCATCCCAAGGATTTGATATAATACTTGTAGCAGTGAATCACTTCACCAAGTTCAGCCACTTCATGAAACTTACTTATTCCTTCTCTGCCAAATAAGTGGCCCAATTATTCATTGTTAATGTGCATAGATTACATAGTTTGCTTGAAACAATCATATTGACAGAGATATGGTATTTATTAGTAATTTCTAGCAGGAATTATTCAAGACACTGGGTATTGGTCTCTGCTATAGTTCAGCATAACACTCTCAATCAGATGGTCAAAGTGAGAGAGTGAGCCAGTGCTTAGAAAATTATCTCAGATGTAAGTATAGTGAGTAACTAGCTATAGCAGAATTCTGGTACAATACAAATTTTGCTACTAGCCTACGAATAACTTCTTCTGAGAGCCTATATGTAGGGGTATCAACGGGTCGGGTTCTGGCTGGAATTGAAAATTTTAGACCCGGACCTGTTTTCATGTAGTAGACCCGGATCCGATCCGTATACCCAATGGGTCTTGATCTTAGAGTTTCGAAACTAGGTTTGACGGGTCCGAGGTGGATCCGGGTCGAATCCTGTT